AACAACCATTAAATCAACCTAAATCATGACTGAACGTAAGCCAGTGTAATTGAAATCGATAGCCATTTCATACATCCTAACCAAACTAACCGCGCTTATAACTGCACTCACCGGGTTCGGAAAAAACCACTAAAAACCGTTATATGTGAAACCACCGTTATGATATAGTAAACCGCGGTTTATGAAACCGGTGATAACCGTTATAATTGAAACAGCGGTTATGATGCAGTAAACCGCGGTTTATGAAACCGGTGATAACCGCTATATTTGAAACCGCTGTTATGATGCAGTAAACCGCGGTTTTTAAAACCAGTAATAAACGCTAAATTTGAAACCGTGGTTACGAGTGCACACACCGCGGTTTTTTGTGAACACGGTGCAAGAAACCGCTGTGAACCGCTGTTTTCAGCGGTTATCGAATTGACACCACGGTGGTGTGCGAGGAAACCGCGGTTTTCATATAAAAATTTTTCCATGGGGACACGTAAGAAGAACAATAGTAAGTACAAATGATTGTTTTTTTTTTGGCGGACGATATCGGACACATTAAGAAAATGTTCGTCGAAGTTGAAAAAAATTGACGCTATATAACTGGATAATGAGAATGAGAAGAGAGAAGATTGATGAAAATTTAATGAAGATAGTAGATGGCTATCTCACCGATCATAGAGCAAGTGCGTAGTCTGTTATTTAAAGAATTTTTAATCGATTTTGAGTCTTTCTTCATCAGATAATTCGTCTTTTTTTTCATGCATACAACTTACAATTATTCAAGAAATTTGTTTTTCGTTCTAGTTGTTACAAATCAAAAATAATCAAATACAAATACAAAACGATCTTCAACAAGCTAGAACAAACTTAGCTAAATGCTCATATTTTGATGAATCAGACAAATGGACCGGTTTGTTGGACATCGTACAGCAATTAGCCATTAAATTGGATCAAATTACCACCGAATTAAAGAAATTTGAAAGTAGCCGAATTGTGTTTTTTTATAAATCAATTTAATTATTTTTTTTTCTTTATAGATATTCATGTTAATGCGAATCATGGCGTGTTACCATACTAAATCAATATGTTCAATTTACACAAGTTTATTTTTCTTGATGCTGTTATTGAAATTTTTGTCGCTGTTATTCTTGAACTTTTTCATGCTATTGTTGATATTTTTGCTGTTATTCAACTTTTTCATGCTATTGTTGATATTTTTGCTGTTATTCAACTTTTTAATGCTATTGTTGAAGTTTTTCTTGCTGAACAATAAATTTAGTTCTGATGCTACATGAAAAAAATTTTTAAAGAAATGAATAATAAGGAAAAAAAGTTAAATAAATATTGATCTAGTAAATTTCTTAAAACAGAAATGTTTGTTTGAAAAAATAAAGAAGCTTTTTATCCATGATAAACAGTTCCATCTCTATAAGATCGAAACTTTTTAACAATTAATTTTAGAAAATCAACAGGCCTTCCACTACTTTGTTCTATACAACGAGAAAAATATCACGATATTCCTTTCAATTAAAAAGCTGATAATAGAAAAAGAGACGAGTAATTCTTATGATTAAATAAGAATATGGAGTGGAATTAATGTTTAGGAAAATCTTTCTCTGATATTTCTACCAAATAATCTTCCAAATTCTTGAATAAACAAGACATTTTTTTTAAATATATTTTTAAATTAACAACAAACTAACAATCCATTCTATTCGATTTTATTTAAAGAAGAAAAATCCTTAGAATTTGAGATGATCGTCAATGATTCTATTGCTTTTTCTTTCTTTCTATTAGTTTGCAAAGTTGATGTATGAGACATGTTATTGAAAATGAAATACGAAAATAAAAGAAAAAAAAGGTTTATTTTAAAGATAATTCTTAATAAGATAAGGATCTTGTAAATATTGTCTAGAGGGTTCAAATAATTGTCTTTGATATTGTGCATCATTAGCTTGAAATATATTTAGTTGAGCTAATGTTGAAATAAGTGGTGATGGACTTTGATTCGAAAAATATTGTGCACCTGCAGATTAACCAGCATAAGCCATTAATGGGCTTGGAAAATATTGATTCGAATTATATTGTTGAGAATATTGATTGAGATGTGCCAAAGAAAATGGTTGATTTGTTTGAAATTTGAATTCTCCTTATCTTTTTTCAATGATGATTTGTAACTCGAAGACGTGAACCGATATTACGAGTTTCGTGACCATCAGATTTGACATCATTAATCTTCTTTTAATAGTGACATACAAACATAAATACATAGAAATGGTAGCCCAAGAACTGTGTGATCTACACGCAAATATTGTAGTAAAACAGGAATAATGAATTTCTTCAACAGTCAAAAACCAACTGCTTTTTATATTTCAACCGAATGTAATAACTTTGAACAACGTATATAAAGTTGGTTCGTGGTAAAAACAACTTCACAATAGTACCTATCATTAGAAAAAAAATTAGCTAATTACGTTCCATAAATAGCGGAGTTATTCAAATATACTGTCCCGATGGACTTTTAGAACAACCTGTACAACTGAGATATGAGTTTTTATACAATAGATCTTCAAAATTGCTGAACTATTTGAACTTTAGATGTTTCATCAATATAACAATGGTATTATTTCAGATCAATTTTTTGTATCTATCAATCAAACGTGTTCACAAAACAGAAAAATATGTCATCTTCGACGGTTTTCTTTCTAATGTTGTATATCAAATATGATTGATTTTGATTTTCAATTGCTATTTATTCTTCTCGTTGGTCAAAAAAAAAACATTTATGGGTAAAGAATATACTCAAGCCTAACAAAAAAATATTGTCAAATGAAATTCTTCGGTCACTTTGTGTTCAGAATATGGTCTATTCAACTTTGATAAAAGATGCTCGATTTTAGTTGAAAAAATTCTATAGTTATTTTTCAAATAATTAACATTATCTCTTACTATAGTAAAAACATTACATTTATTGCTTAGATAAGAAGAAGACAAAGATAGTAAATTTTCTTTTATGATATTTTAATACAAATTAGAATAAAATCGTATTTTATATGTTAAACAGATGATATCAGAAATAAATTGAATGTGAGAAATTTCGAACATGTTCATCATTAATTAAACCATATTTACATACAAGTAAATATGTAAATAGATCAAAATGACGATAATAAATTATTGATAAATATATAATAATAATTATTTTTCGACAACTATTATTTGATCATAATCAATAAAAACAGCTTGTGCATATATTTTAAAATATACGATTATTTAATGATAAATTAAATTCTTCTCGAAGAATATTTCGAGAAGATTTATTTGATGATTTATCTAATAAATGAGAAAATAATTAAACAAATTTTTCATTAAAACTAATTTTCGTCTATTTGATTTTCAATTGAACGACATAATGATTAAACTTTATCAATTGTTTGAATACCTAACGATGATCAACGATGATCCATATAAATATTTAAACATCTAGATCAAATTTTATTTCATTAAATGACATTCTTCACAACAAATTTTCATTTTTTGTTTTGTTTTTTGAACAACATACGAACAAACAAATCTTGATAATTATTAATTTTTCTTTAACTCATCATAAATCATGTAGCAAAATAAACAACAAGATTGTCTGTTCATTGATGTGTATTGCGAAAAAAGTTTTATGAGAATTTAGCTTGTTGTTCTCTATTTTCTTGCTTTTATATAAATATTCGAAATGAAATATTGATATTTTTGACAAACATTTCTTTCAATTTAAATCAATATTATGAAAATAAAACAACAAGTATATATAATCTTATCTTCTTTTATTATCTAGAGCATTATTATTTACTTTCATAGGCGCACAAATAGATACACATAAAGATAAACAAGCAAAATACCAAAAACAAGAGAAAGAAATATAAGAAAAATAAAGAAAAAGATCATCAACTTTTGATTTTTTTTTACTCCCTTAAAATGTGCACATAAAAAAAACATAAATGAGAAAAAAGACAAAGAAAAGTTCACCAGCAAACTTTGATATTGGCATCATTATCAAAGAAAAAACATAATACAAAAAAAAAATAAATAAATAAAAAGAATAAGGTTACCCTTATTCCCCGGTAACACAAAGTCACTGTCGAGAAAAGAAAAAATATTATTTATAAAGTTTATATTTAACCTGATTATATTGTGCAGTTGGTCGATATAATTATTCTTAAAAATATTCTTCAGTCATTTTACGTACACCTAAACATAAAACAGTGTATTAATCATCAATATAATGTTAATGATATACCTTTAGTTAATAATAAATCATTTGATTGATCATCATTCGTAAGATTTGTTGCTAATTGTTGCTGATGGAAATACGGTAAACACTTTAAACCTTCTTGAAACTTGTCCAATACAAATCCAATTTTCGTCCAAGATAAATCATTAGGTTCATTAATATTTAAATAAATTGTTGATAAAAATTTAAATTTTTTTTCAAAATCTGATAAATCTTTTCGTTCAACATCAGCTTGTTTTAAAATTTCTAAAAGTTTTACAACTGATTTGGTAAATGTATCAGGTATTGCAAAATTCTTCCTTATAATTTCGATTGTTAATTCATGTTCTATATCACTATATAATAATAACGATAATTGTACAGGTGATATATTAATACCTGTAACATATAAAAATATTTATTATTCAGTATAAATTCAATAAAAAAAAAATTATTTACCATTATTAAAAGCTATTTCAATAATCTGTGAGTCATATGCCTTACAAAGATTTTTATACTTTTCATATTCTGTTTGAAGTGCTATTAAAAAATATTACCACTAATTTTAAGTAAAACTGAATTTACCAAATGCTTATATGATAATACTCGATGGTGTTTATCAATTAATAATATTGATTTTATTATTTTTTCTGTCATATCTAAATTAATAAACAATGATTAAGATAAAAATAGAAAATAATTTAAAAAAAAAACTTGAATCTGGCTCAATAAATTGATCATCTTGTAGACCAATCTTTGATTGAATATTTTTGATTAATTGTTGAGGCGTTTCATAATGAACAATAAAATCAATACATATATATTCAGCAAGACTATGTATTGCTTTAAGAAGTCTTAAATGATTTTTACAATCAATAGATTGAATATTTAATAAATTAAATAATTTTCGTATCGTTGAACGACTGAATATTGATTGACATTCTCTATTATTAACTAAAAAATAGTTACATTAAAAACAAAAAAAACAATAACATAAACTTTTTATTTTTTCTTCTTACTTATTCGTTTAAACAACAATGATATTCCACCAAGAAATTTTTCTATACTATAAAAATCATTTTGTGTTCTTATATCAAGTTTCACATAAGCTGGACAACATTGACCATGACGTTGTTCTTTATCCTTTGGTAACTATATTTAAATAAAAAAGAAAAACAAATTTTCTTGTTCTTAATATTTAATAATTAATATTAAAAATATTTACTTTTGATGAATCATAAAAAATCATTAATAATGGATAATTTATTGGTAATTGATGAATTAATTGGTGTTTGATTTATTTCAAATGAAAGTTGATCTTGTAGACATTTTGTTTCATTACGTATTATATCAATACATTTTCTACACATTGTATGATCACATATAGGTAATGTTATTGGATGATATAATGGATTTTCATATTCAAAATCATGTAAACATCTTGCACAGCGTAAAAAATCCATATAATATGATTGATTTGATAAAGACATTTTTATTCAATATCTATAAATAAATAAATAAATCCTACTTACTAGTTTCGATAAATAATTTGTTGTATGTGTGTTGTAAATGACGATGTTGGACAAAATTCTTTCTTTTAATCGCTGCCTATTTTAACTAACTGAATGAAGAGACACAGCAGAGAGAGAAGACGACGATGATGATAGATGTATTTGTCTCTCTCTCTCTCTCTGCCTGTTATTTCTTCTACTTCAATGTATATGTGATGATAATTTCTAGTACACATAACATACAAAAGAGAAGTAACAACATACATACATTCGTTGGAAAATAAATAGTTACATTGTTCTTTGTTTTTTTTTTGTTTCTTTACTAATATAGAGAAAGAAATGAAATTGGTTTCTTCCATTGATTATAGATGACGAATGAAATAGAGAAGTATATACATATATTTAAGATGAGAACATTAATTTTAACAATAGAAAATTTTCAATATAGTTATCTTTTTTGTTTATATTCTTTGTTTCATATTGTTCTCTAATAAAAAAACTAAAGATCACCAAAAAACTAAAGATCACCAAAAAACAAAAGAATTCAAAAGTGAGAAAGAGTTTTTGTCTGTTGTTTTTTTTAATCGATACTTATTTTTATTTGGTATCGTTTAGCGAAAATATCCTTTATTAATAAATTCACCATTTGTAACTAATTGTCCAATTGAATCATCAGCTATAGTCATCATTCGAACTGAACTAGTCAGAATATATCTACTAGTTTTTCTTGTAATTCTTCCTGTTTCTTCATCAACTATATCCAATTGAAATGGTAGCATGATCTGTTCCTACTATTATTTTATTGATTGTAGCACGTTTCCATGGAATATATAATTGAATTTGTTCTGCTATTGGTCGTATATCTGTATGGTACCTTTTTTTAAAGATAATTTAGAACTAAAATCAATAAAAAAGACACTTTGCTTTTTTTTTTTATTTAATTAAAAGAAAAAACAAAAACAAAAAAAACAATAGGAAAAAAACGAAAACAATGTTTTCTTTTTTTTAAAGTTTTTCTCTAATGAAAATTTAATTTTGTTTCCAAAAATTGGCATTTTCTGTAATACGTCAGTGAAGATTATTATACCATGTTTGAATGTTCGAGAAACATCTTGAAAAAATGATCTTATATAATAAACAAAATTATTACGTATTTTTTCATAGAAGTTTAACTCTTCATGGTGTTATATCATATCGTTGAACTTGTTATTGAAATAATGCTAAAGGTTCAATAGTTATATCTAATAAACCATCACTTGGAATAATTGTTTAATGTTGAAACCACTTAATAATGTTGATACTAATGATGAATCATTTCTCGATTCATTATCTTATATAGAAAAAAAAAACAATTCTATGAAAAGAAAATCTTTTATTTTATTGTTTTTAAAAATTATACTTGCTTTTGAATTTTTTATTTTTCCAAGATAAAACCATGATGGTCGTTCTATACTTGACTAACTAAAATAAAATAAAAAGAGAAAAAAGTATCGATAAGAAATAGATATTGTTTAAATATGACATGATAGTTGCCACCACTGTCGAAATATTCTGTAAATGGTATTTGACCAGTTCATGAATACAACAAAATGATTTACATGATCAACATCAGGTACTGAAATTACAAATTGAGTTTGTCTTGCTTGTTGAAAATTTACGTTGAGGCTAGAAGATTTTTCTCAACTAACATATAACTTACTAATCGATCAGCAATTAGTATTAAAAACATAACTTAAATGAAAATATCTTTTATTTTAATTAAAACTTATCT